CTTGTTCATTCATAACGATGGTGCTAGTACATAAAGGGAAGTCGCATTTAGCAAACTCGTAAATAACCATTGCAAGTGGTAGCCATTGGTTGGTTTAGCATTGGGTAATAGCTGTTAGCCACCACTCGGACTATCTCCGAGTGCTTCCATCTTTCAAAGGGAGTGACTGCGAGAGGTGTACTGTGCCACTACCTTTACCACAAGGTTCGGTTGTGGTGCCGAATTTATGGACCGGAACGCCGCTCTTCAGATCTGATCTTCCCTTTTTACAAATTAATCAGTCCTCCTCCTTCTACACTTTTTTCCTACTTATTGGTTATTTCCCAGTTATTTGTTAGTTTCAATATCCCGATCATCTCTTAATCTTAATTCTAGTCACCGCGTTAATTTTTAATGTGAAAAATATAAAGATTGGCGCGGGACTGTGCGTGCTAGTATATTTCGTACCGTTTTGGGAATCGAAATGTGTTCATCAACATTGTGCTACGTTCTTGATTTATTTTTACAGCAAGAAGGAAAAACTGAAACTGGCACAGTGTCTCATCAGGATTTTACGGCGAAAAAAGGCGAGCATTATCCGGCAACAAAGCCAAAAGATTCCGATTTACTGCACGGCGACGGCTTATTTACGGCTGAAACTCACGCAGGAACGGAGTTTACGCCAAAAATCGGTGAAAGATATGATGCAAAACGTCTCACTGAATCAGACATTTGGGAAGTACAAGTTTACGTATTTTAAATCTAAACATTTGGGGTTCAGCACTTTCTGTCGAAAGGGCAAGGCTATACAGGATCTCATTGCGGCCAAGCAAGAAAGCAAAATCCGGTGAGCCGGGCATTTTGCTTGGCTTATCAACAACCAGGGAGCGTAAATGTACGCGCGGGAAAGTAAATGATCTCTCGAGTGGCCCTCGAAAAGGTATCGCACAAACTTCAAATAGGAGGTGAGTAGTAACTGGTAGCATGCAGCTTGGAATCGAAAGATCTATCGTATGCACCCGGCGTATTGCATCACTAACACGGACCCGATTATTTGGGCAGTTTTGGTATTCCCGATTTTTATGCGTTTTTGCATATAAGTAAATTGCAAAAACGCATATTGGGAAGAGATTGTATGTGTCTGTGTGTTCGCACTTTTTGTCATCCACTTTCAACTCGAGAACCAGAAAAGCTAGAAGGCT